CTATGTCATTTGGCTTTGTAAGAAATGCACTCTACGAAACATAAAAAAGTAATCCTTAGAAATTTAAAAAACTCTTGAGTGGCCCAAAATTATATTATCCTATATGCAAATATTTTATTCCTTTTCTATTTTGAAAGACCTAAAGGAACTGTAAAGTTTAATAATGTTGATAGAGACCTCCAATAACTTGTTTTAAAACTAATTTTCTTCCTCCCTGTTTTTTTTGGGGTGGGGAGAGGAGAGTCTCTCTATTATTGTCCTGGAACACCTACGTAAACCAGGCTGTCCTACGAAGATCCACAGGCCTTTGCTTCCCAAGACCTGGGATTAAAGGCATGTGCCAGCATACCCAGCTGAGACTCCTAATTTTCAATGAAAAGATAAACCTCAGAAAAATAGGTATCATCCCACCCGTGAGCGAAAAAGCAAGGGCAGAGATTCGATTCTCTTCATTTTCTGTTCTTTTCACATCATCATGCTGATGAAGAAATACTAGCATCCTACATACCGTACATGATCGTTAGCCTGGGGACTTGGTAAAGTGCCTGCCACACGAGCACATGGACTAGAGTTTGAATCCCCTGCATCTATGTTAAACATTTGTCCCAGTGGCACTGGACTGTAATCCTAGCAAAGACTTGGGGTTTGCTGATCAATCATTAACCTTTGGCTGCAGTGAGAGGCTGTCTCGAACTGGCCTCCACACATAACTGCACACACATATGCATGCATGCGTGTATACACACATACACAGGAACACACACGAATATGGGGAAGAGCAACAGAAGGCACTGACATTGACTTCTGGCTGCCATATGCACTCATACACAAACAACAAATACGTATACATACACACATCCCTCAAAAATATCATTACTTCACAAACAATAAACTCAAATGGAATATTCAAAGTTACATAATTTTACCCATTAGTGATGTCAATATAGCTCCAGTACAAGAGGCAATCATTTGCTGAAGAGGTGTTACTTGTGTTGTTGGTGGCGGCCCCTCGGTTTCAGGCTCCATATTTTTAACAAGTTTAAAAAAAAGATCTGTTGAAGCAAAGATAAAACAATACATGTATACATACAAATATAATATATACAATATATGTATATATGTAATAAGGTTTAGTGGAAAATATCTTCAAAATTACCTGCCGAACTATAAAAACAATAACCAGGAGTGCTCGCTTAACATACTCAAGTCTTGGGTTTGCTCCTCAGCCCTGCAAACATAAAACATAATAGAACAGAATAAAATTTATATCAAAGCACATGCTTTATCACTGTCAAAAGTAATAAGTTACAGATGAAAGCTAGTGTGCCACTACCATAACGAGCACACGCCTATGGTAAGACGTGCTTGGCTAAGCTGTGTGATTAGCGCATTTGCAGGACAGGTAACCACAGATAAGGAAACATCCTCTGACCAAGGCCAGAACAAAAGCAGCTAACCACTAAGAATTTACAAACTCGGTACATTTAAGATGAACATGACTCAGACCCCTTCTCTATTCTACAATAGAGCACAATGTAGCACAATTGCTACTGTGTATTAATAGTTGTTTCATAGTTATAAAATTAAAAAACACATGGCCTTAATGGGTATCTCATAAAAACTTCACAAGACAAGCAATATTTATTACTTTTTGGAAGACATATATACAGATATATGTATCTATACATACAAACAAATTTAGACTTTGATATATGAGTACATGATGTTTTGAGAAAAATAAGTAAATAATATTTAGGTTGTAACTACTCTGTTATAAAAGTAATACAAACACTGATAAATGTTTATATCATTTTTAATGCTCTGCAGAGTGTATAAATAATGCTTAAACAATCTCTTATACTTAGGTTATTGTCGAATTCTCAGTGGCAAGCCATCCTGATAATCTCCTATTCGTGTATCTTTCTGTAGTCTTTCTATACTTACCTTAGTGAGGAAACTAAGGCAGTTAGGCTATAGTATTTATTATGCACACCTCTAATCCCAGCACTCTGGGAGCCAGAGGCAAGTGGATCTCTGTGAATTCAAGACCACCATGGTCTATCGAGTGAGTTCTAGGACAGCCAGAACTACAAAGAAACCCTGCCTCAAAAACAAACAAATAATAATACAGAGCCAGGTTTAGTGGTATGGGAGGCAGAGATAAGAGTTCAAGGCCAGCCTGGTCAGCAAAGTGAATCCCAGGGCAGCTCGAGATATACAGGCACACCCACTTTCAAACAGAACAAAACAACCCTTACTACAAAGCCTAGTGTGGTGGTGAACGTCCCAGCTCTCAGGAAGCTGGAACTGAAGCGAGGGCCTTACAGACCAGTCTGGACTTCACGGCAATCCACGGCTCACTCACAAACAGACTTTGATGCAAACTTCCTTTCCAGAAAGACAGACTATTCACGGTCATTCCAATCATCCTGTGCATTCACAACTCTCCCCTCTCGTCTAGGCCCCTCCCTGTCCTCTGCTTCCTGGATGCCTTGAGTTGACCCTCTCTGCCTCTGCACTTCTGCCACACACACAGTTGGTAAATGAACCTAATACAAAGAGCTACTATTAGAGGTCTCAAGTGAGCAGTAGGCAGCGGCTAAGTCTAAGCTTTCCTATGGATAGGAAAGAAAACAGGAACACTTTTTGGCGAGAAAGGCTTCAAGTGGAAGAAAAAAGTGATAGGTATTATTAAAGTATTCATCATGTAAACTCTTAGAATTTGCCCATGATCATTGTAAAATTACTTTAAGACTAAATGAATTCATTTCTCTTGATTCATAGCCAAATACATACTTGTTCAGTTAGTTCCAGCAGTGTCTAAATGTTTATCTTTGTGACATGATATGGTTATCTACAAATGTGTTGGGCCACATTCTTAGATATCGTAGAATGCATATAGTTTATGCGCCACAAGTTGGCTTCCAGCTTTAATCCTAGAACTTGGGAGGCAGAGGTACGCGCACATCTCTGTGTTTTGAGGCCAGCCTGGTCTACACAGTAAGTTTCAAGACAGTCGGAGCTACCTACAAAGACCCTGTCAAAATCAAAACAAAAAACCAAAAAGAACCAAAAGTAAACGAACAAACAAGTTGGACACACATAATTCTGCTCAATATTCCCCAGTTTTTCTCAGCAGGGTGCTTTAATACAGTTTCTTAGTATAAATAACTCCAGCCCCGTTCATTTATTCTTGAATGGAAACCCTTCACCTGAAGGACTCTTCTCTCTGGGGGGCTGGAAGGCCACCTGGGGAACCTTGGTATCCATTAAGTGTGGGCTTTTCCTAATTGGGTTTGATTAGGTCTGATCTGGACTACTGTGTCTGTGGAGAGGCTCGTCGGGTGCAGAAACTTCTACTTCCCCATATTATCACTCAGGGTGTCACTAAGGAAATGAATGACACAGCAAAGCCGTAGGTCTACGTTGCAGGTGTCAGCCGGTCTGAACTCTTGGGAATGGAGGTGTGTGAGCAGAAGGACAGCAATTACAGATCTCTTCCCTGGGCGAGATCTTCACTGTGCTTTCAAGGCTACCCCCCCCCCCTCAGCTCCCACAACAGCTAACAACTATGCCCCTTTTCAAACTAAAACCGAGCCTCAAAATTAACCAACTCCTATAGTTTAGTGACGTTGGCACCACCTCAATTCTGCAGGAAATTCCATGACTTCCCACCATTGCTTTGCCCCTGGTTCTTTTCCAGCTCCCAGTTCCTTTCCCCAGCCTCTGACCATCCCTACTTCTGTATCCCATGTGCTCTCTCTACTCCAGGGCATTCCAGCCCTCCCTTGGGCTTCAATTCTAGTCTGTATTAACATTTCTCAAACATTTAAAGCATCTTACAAACATGGACATTCTGTGTTCTTTCTGTAGCTTACATTTCGAAAACCGAGTTTTCCTCTGAAAATGTTAAATGTTTGCTAAACCTGTATGACTCCTTCTCGAGATCTGTTAAGCACGTGTATAGAAATTCAAATCCATCAGTACAATGTCTCAATGTGTATTTCCCCTTCCTGGCGCCCACTCCCAGACTGTGAATACAAATATCTCCAACTGTCTACTGAACAGTTTAATAAAGTCAGACAGTTCCACGAACAGTTCCTCCGGGCTCTATCCTTAACCCGTTCAAAACAAAATCATTTCCTTGAGCAATCCTAATCCATCTTGGTGCCCTGTCTTTGACTAACAGTTTCACAATTCACTTGTCTGTGCTTCAATATACTTATTTGTACTGACTGGTCTGAGGTACTGCATCAAAAATCAACATCAGAAGAAAGTCAATTACGGTCAAGAGTTAAGAAATGCAAAACAGCACAAAACACAACGGTTGTAAGGGTGAGCAAGCAAAAGTATACTCAAAACAAGTTTCGTGACGCATTTTCTCATCTATAAAGCAAAATTAGAAAAATCACAAACACCTCAATTTCGTCTTGGCATAATCCTATTACTATTATGGTTTTACAGATGAAAAACCCTGAGACTTCATTTTCTACTCGTTTATTGTTGCAAAAAGAAAGAAATCACACATATACACAGAGGGAACAGATCTTCACCAAACAAAAGTTCCCAAGGGCAGCGAGGGTCGCGTCCGCCGGGTGGACCCCCGCCCCGCCACCACCCTGGTCACGCAGGACCTCTGCGGCCTGTCTGCGGGTCAGCCGGAGCCCGGCCCCGTGTCCCACGCGCGGCTCACTGGCGTACCTGGTGGCGCGGCGACTGCAAGGCGGTGTCCCAGCAAACCTAGCAGGTGCTGATGGCCACCCGGCCTGCGAGGCTAACTGCACCCACCGCCGGGGCAGCTCCCCACTCCCCACTCGCGGGTCCGCAGCGCGGCGCGGGAACCCCAAGGGCGCCCCAGCGAGCCTGGGTCTGCCCGCGCGCGGGGCGGAGTCACGGCCCGGGGGCGGGGCCGAGTCCCGGGGGGCGGGGCCCGCGGCGCGCGACCCCGGCAGGTGGAGCTTGCGCGAGGCGGGCCCGGCGCAGGAAGGGCGGGGAGCGTTCGGGCGCCGTCGTCGCGTGACGCGTTTTCAAATCTTTAACCGCCGCGGCTCGCACGTCGGAGCTTCGGCCCCTTCCTGCCGGGGGAGGCTCGGCGCCGGAACCGGCCCCTCACGGCGGCGCCGCGGCCTGGGCCCGGAGACCCTGCAGCTTTGTGTTCGCGGCCGTCACCGGCGGCACCCGGTGCGGGCCCAGCATGTAGGTGCCTGGTGGCTGCCATGAACCTGGAGACCATGAGGATCCACAGCAAGGCGCCCCTCCCGGGTACGGAGCCCCTCCCCCGCCGCGGTCCCTTTAATCCTTCCTTCCCTGCTCTGCCGGCTCCACGGTGGATTCCCGGGAGTCGCCCCTGCGGGGGCCTCGGCCGCAGTGACACTTGTGGCGGCTTCTCGGTGGCGCCATGAAGGCGTTCGGTCTCCGTGAGGGGACAGCGCGGGCCGGGCCCCTCGTGCCCTCCGGGCCGCAGCTGCGACCCCGCATTCCCGGGGCTGCCAGCTTGAGACAATGCGCGGGTCCCAGACGGCCGAGGCGCCCGCTCCACTCATAATTAAAGCTGTGTGTGTGTGTAGTGTGTGAGAAAGAAACACGCCGTGTTTCCTATTTCAATTGCATCGTATCGATTAAAATAAAAATTCATGATAAGTTTCCCTGAGAGAGATGCATACATAGGTGTCTATTAACCAGGTAATAAGATGCAGGTTGCGTTTGCAAAGTGTATAGACGTTGCTTGATTCTCATCTCCTTTTCTTTTAAAATAAGGAGATGAATGGCGATGTCCTTTGTGGGCCTGAGTTCCAAATATGTAAGCAAAGTGCGTGAATTCGATCATTTAGTTCTTTGTAATACTAGCCAACACCATGAAACCATAATTTGAGCACTCAGTAACCCTTGAGAATTGGGTTCTTTAGTTTAGATACTTTTTTTCTTCTTCTTGCCTAGGTCAATAAGCTGTTAAATTTTGAAACCCCTGTGTTGAGTTTTCACAGCGCCGGTGATAGGAATAGCATGAAGCTACATCCTGAGAAAGTGAGCCTTCCAGAAAGAGTGCAGAGTTCCCTGCCTTCAGACAGAAGCAGGAACAAGTAATGACTGCATCCCGTCGGGTCAGCTCTTGGTCTCCAGTATAGAATTTGTGGAAAGCATACCAAGGCACTTGGCTTTCATCCTATGGAGTAATATTTAGGAACACATTTAGGTTCTAGTTACTTAAGTTGATATAACTAATAATTTTTCCTTTCTGTTAAATTTTTGTTGTTGTTGTTGTTGTTTTTCGAGACAGGGTTTCTCTGTGGCTTTGGAGCCTGTCCTGGAACTAGCTCTGTAGACCAGGCTGGTCTCGAACTCACAGAGATCCATCTGCCTCTGCCTCCCGAGTGCTGGGATTAAAGGCGTGGGCCACCACCGCCCGTAAAGCATTACCTGATTCTTTTCTTAATCACAGGTGGCATCCAAGACAAAAATGAAAAGAACAGACCGTCCTTGAAATCCCTGAAAACTGATAATAGACTGGAAAAATCCAAATATAAGCCTCTCTGTGGAAAAATATTTTACCTTGACTTACCTTCTCTCACCGTATGTGAAAAACTACAAAAAGACATAAAGGATCTTGGTGGGGTAAGTGAAAACTGCACACTCCCAAAAAAGTAAAAAAATAAAAATTATATTAGCACTTTATGAAATCATTAAAGAATTTCATTTTTGGAATATTATAGCCATTTAATCAATAGCAGCCTAAAACTATGAATTGTTTATTAGTGAATCACTTAGGAACTGGGAGTATGCCCAGTGGTTTAGCACCTGCTGCACATGTGCAGGATTTTCTGTGCTCAAGTCCCAACATCACAGGACAAAGAAAACAATTTTTAGGCTTTTGGAACCTGACAAAAATGTTCATATTTCTGTGATAACTGGTTAAGTATGAGGGAAAAAAGAGGGCTTGGTCCTGGTGACCTGCCTTTCAAATATATCTATGACTTTTGTAATATTGTGTGTGTGCGTGTGTGTGTGTGTGAGAGAGAGTGAGAGAGAGAGCGAGAACTCCTGTGTCAACATAAGCCCATCATTGGGGGAACAGCAGTTTTGGAGTTATAGTTAAACTGTCTTCCCTGTTATATACATTACTTAGATGATCAGAAAACTTAGACAAAAATCTAAAAGATTTCATATGTGTAATATTAATATTACCTAAATACTAGCAGATGAGCTTATTATGATTTTTACTGTTCCAAAAGTTTCTCCTGGCTTGGAATTTTGAGTTTCTGAAAGTTTGCCTGTTTCCAGTCTGGAATTCAAAAGAGTAGTTCCCAGATTTCTTAGAATTTTTGTTAATGTGATATTTTACTTACCTGCCCTTGAAAGTTTTCTACTTTTCTTTGCAGGGGATAAATAGAATTTTACTTTGAATATGAAAAAAATTTCATATTCACTTTTTGAATGAATTTATTTTTGCTTTCTTGTCAATTACATTCGTACACAAATTGCAGCATAACCGGTTACCCCGTTACCTTCATTGTCCTTCCCCCCCCCATTACCTTCATTGTCCTTTCACCCCGTTACCTTCATTGTCCTTTCACCCCGTTACCTTCATTGTCCTTCCACCCCCCCATTACCTTCATTGTCCTCCCCCC